ATTACCTAAGGATTAACTATTAACTAAACCCTGTTCAAAAGATAACATCATCAATTATAGCACCGCTCATTGGGTAAGCGTAGCAATGTTATGTTAGCCTGGGTACCATGGCAGCCAGGGAACGAGGGTCACAAGGGTAACGAAAAGGCAGATGAAATGATAAAACAAGCCCCATCAGTGCTATTCATAAGCCCAGAACTCTGTGTTGTGTTGCAAAAGCAGTCACAAGAATGACCATAAAACGGTGGTTGGTCAAAAAATCGCTAGATTGCTGAGAAATTTACCTTGGGTACCACGAGAGGCTCGATAATCAAAGACCGAAAGACAGTTAAAACTGTAGTGGGTCCACTAAGGGCACTGTAAGTTTAATAGGCATCTAATGTTATTAATATTATTATAATATATTTGCTGACGGGTAAAGCCATGTGCATGTACAGAACATATTTTATGTCGGTGAAACACGCTGACAAATGTGCGGTTTTTTGTACTAGGCAATGACAAAAGGTACTAGGTCATTGACAAAAGGCTAAATGGAGGGTTCAGTCTCCAAGTTATTAGACTTTGTGAAAGGGATAGGACTAGAGAATCTAACTTAACGGATCAGAAGATGGGGAAATGTGGCAGTGGAACAGTCCGACAGCCACTTCAAAAACCTAACCTAATCTAATCTAATCTAGCTAGCGCTGAAGAGAACCCATTAGAAAACTGTCCTCCTTCACTCAACGACACGAAACCATATATAATTTTCATTTTAAATTTCATATTTTTTATTGTGTTCTAGCGGACCCATTTTGATGATTTTTTAAGCAATTTTAAGTTAAATTATTTGACGTTTTACTATCTCTATTTAATTAAAAATGAAAGTTGCCATCTACAATTATACGAAGGTAAACAAAATGTTGATATTTTGGTGAAAGTTTGAAACACCCTGTGGAGTACGTTAACAAAACAAGGATTTAAAAATTATTTTATCATTTAGTTGTATATTTTCTCGATAGCTGTTTTTTTGGTTCATTCCAATAGCTTTATTTTTTTGGAGACATTCGCTTTAAAAGAAGAAACTAATATTATTTCGCATTTTTTACATGAAAACTATATGTATATACCTTTGTTCTTGGTTCTAGTCAACAGAGTACAAAATAGTATATATGATTATAGAGTATTTATAACTTTGACAAATCACATTATTATCTGCTGGGCAGTTACTCCAGCAGAGATGGTTTTAAGTCCTAAAGTTGATTTCTATCATGATCAATTAAGGCAGCAAAAAAAAACTCGTACTTCAAAACTTAAAATCATCTCCACAAAAGTAAACATCAATAAACAATAATAATACGACTTTTCAATGACAGTGACATACATAAACAATAAACATTATTTTACAAGTGTGTTGATGAGGACCCTAAAATAAAGGCACTCTTTCAAGCTAAAATTGTTGTAAAATGTTACTGTCTTATTCAAAAGTGAATATTCCCAATAAAAATAAAGCTATTGAGATGAATCAAAAATCAAACTATCAAATCAAATTCCTTGATTTGTTAATATATTCCACAGGAAAATTGAAACTTTCACCAAAATATCAACATTTTGTTTTCCCTCGTATAATTGACAGATGGGGGGACTTTCAATTTTAATTTAGAAAGAGATACTAAAAAGATAAATGATATAGCTACAAACTGCCTAAAATATCATCAAAATCGGCCCACTAGAACAAAATATATTAAATTTTAAACTAAATAAAAATTTTAAGGTGTCCCTTTTTCGTGCAGGTGTGTGTATTTAATATCAAATTGAATATTCCTTAAAAGAAATATGGCACTTATTTATGGACAATTCCAATTAATATTATCCCAATGGCAATTTAAAACAACTCTTTTTTCTTTTCTATTCAAATCCTACAAAAAAAAATAGCGACAAACGTACGATTCAAAAACCAAACGGTCCCGATTTACGTGCCTCCGCAATTATATTTATGCGTCGCAGGACGCGCATTAAATCCGCAGGAAAAACAACGAGTGCGGCAGCGGCAGCATCATCCCCGCGTCCTGCGAGAGTTGGCCAATTGCACCGGCCGGTTATCTATAGCCTGAAGGGCTCCAATCTGAACCGACGTTAATTGCTAGCGACTACGAAATATACACGGGGACCAGCCTCCCGCCTGTCCGTGTTCTATTTTACCCTCTGCATGCTGCTACAACGAATTACTACCATATCGAGAACGGTTTAGCCCTTACTGGATCTGGCCGGGTCCAGTTGTAAGTTCGTTTATGATATGTCAAATTAGAATAGTATTCACTTTAATTCAAAGTCTGCAGTGGGAATAATGTTGATGGGTATAAATTATTATCAAGTAATGACTGGAAGTTATGATAGATTTGATGTCCATTTTGAAAAAGGCAAAGGAAATTACGATTACGAACTAAAATCAAAATTAAGACGCTACCAATAGCAACATATAAATATGAATTGTTGATGGGATCTAACGAAATTGACGTGATTGAAGCTGTGTGTCTATTGTGAAGAAATTGTAGGAAATATTCTATGCCAGCGTGAAGTCCTGGCAAATGTGTGGATTTTGGTACTAGGCAATGGTATCGAAAATAAAGCGAAAAATCATTATTGGAAAACTGTCCTCTTACACTCACCGGAAGTTTTATATACCGTGCTGGCAACAGTTACTTTTGGGTCGGTATTTACATGTGTGTAAGTAAATCGCATAGAGATCTTATTAAGTCGGAGTGAGAGAAATGCAACCGACCGACGGCGCGGCGTTGCCGATACGCCTTTCCATATCAAGTAAAGAAAAATCACGATCGCAAACCGCTTATTTTTAAAAGACTTTTTTTTTCAAGAGATAACTAGATAAAATCATTAGTCATGTTTCTGAGCATCTGAAATGGAATTATAAGGATATCGTTAAGGTGTCATTTTTTTCATAACGAGAAAACGTCAGTAATCGCGATTACTTAAAAAATCAACTTTTTAACACATAACAGGCCATAACTCAAGAACCACTTTAAATATTGAAACTTTTCTTTATTTTCAAGATTGGATATTTTACAATATGTTTACATAAGAAAAATTCGATAAGGTTGTTTTTTCCATTCAAAAATTGTAAACAATCCAACCATTTACTTTTAGAGCATAGCAATTTTCAGCAATCGTGTAATTTTTTTATTGATAAAGATTTTCACATACTGTCTACAAAGAAAATACAGCAGAAATATTAACAAAGTTCTTGAAAAAAATACAATCTATTATTTCTAATAGATTTCGAGATATCGATTTTTGAATTCAGAGTTCTAATAGCGCGACCACTATCAAACACCCACTCAATTCCACTTATTTTTACCAAAAATGCAAGTGTTTCTAGGTTGCACTTAAAAAAAATCAAGCTATAGGGAAAATTACAACGACTCGTTAATAAATAAGCAAATTAAGTATCACGAGACGTAATTAAATCGTAAAGCTGAACGCATGACGTACACCTTACCCTAGAACTTTAAGTACTGACAGAGGTATTGATTGGGTCGACCGGTCAACTGCGACAAATCTGCTATATCCCCTTCCACGTCTCTTAGCCATGTGCACAGTTTCTCGGTTTATTTCATACGTTTGGCAACGTGTTTACTGTCCTCTCTTTGTTCAGTACATTATAAACGCATTGTACTCTTCTTACATACGGAAATTTCGACCCAAGACTAACCTTTGCCAGCCTTTAGTATTGTGTTCGAGTAGACCGATACTAATTCATCAAATCAGAGGTCATTATAATTGGTCCAGTCGTTCTTAAATTATAAATTGTGTAACCCCAGTGTATCCCGAGTTTTATTTATTTAGATGGCGATTATAATTATTTTGCTTCAGTGAATAAATTCGTTGAGAGATTTGGTATAACAGTGTATAATTTAAATCTAAAATTTATTTTTATAGTATCTCTTGATGGTAACTTGGTTATTAAATATATATTACGTTTAAGAGTCCATTTCACTAGTCCGAAAAAGTATCAAAATAAGCGTTCGACTTTAACGTTTTATGTAAAACTGGCACGGTATTTTTACACAAAATGAAGAAGGAAATTAAAGATAAAGGATTATACTATATCCGTATTGTAGCACATTTTTAGACAACTTCTTTATTTTTGAGATTTTGATGGTCAAACGTGAACAAATATTCGTTATGTTTGAATTAAATTTTTTGAAAATAAAGACATAATTTAAAATTCCGTTACAATACGGAAATAGACTGAAGTTTTGTGATTACAGTGATATATAATTTATATGGTTTTGTAACAAATTGCTCGCTATTTTATGGCAAATACTGAAGCTCTGCAAACCTTAATCAAGCCTTAATCAAAGCACTTGTGTTTGGAATTTTGGATGTGGCTTAACACGACAGGATCGGGCTAAATCTTCAGATTTCTGAAATATCTATACTAATATATAAAATCCTTAAGTGACTGACATACTAATTAATCACGATCCTGCTCAAACCACTCAACGTAAGAAGCTCAATTTTGGCATACAGGTTGATTTTAGGGTGTAGAGGTTCGATAAGAAGGGATTTTTCGAAATTCCAGTTCCAAGGGGGTGAAACCACCCCTCAAATATTACAATATTTTTTATATAAAAAACGGTCAAGTTTCCGAAAATAACGCTTAAACACGTATATTTTATTCTGTTTTTTTACATATTTTAAGATTTTTTAAAAATGAATACAGGGTGTTTCGAAAAATCTTGTCATTGATTAATCACGATCCTGCTTAAAGCGCTTGACGTAAAAAGCTGATTTTTGGAAAACGGAGTGACTTTAGGGTGTAGAGGTTCGATAAGAAGGGATTTTTCGAAACTCGAATTCTAAGGGGGTGAAACCACCCCTCAAACATTAGAATATTTTTATTTAAAAACCGGCGAGTTTTTCGGAAAAACCCTTAAACACGTATACTTTAATTTGTTGTTTTACATAGTTAAGATTTTTAGTTAGTTACTGTACTATACAGATTATACAGCTAAATGTTGTCTTCCCAATCTCAATCGCCAGCCATCTCTGTCGTACACGAGATCTTCTTCGATATTCCGATCTCTCATCGCCTGTCGTATACCATCGTTCCAGGACCGACGCGGGCGTCCCCTTTTGTTTCCTCCAGTGGGTGACCATTTGAATACACGTTTTGGCCATCTTGTGTCCTCCATCCTCATTAGATGACCAAACCATCTCAAACTTCTTTTCTCTATTCGTCGAATTATTACTGTTTCTTGTGCCGATGTTCTGTTTCTGATTTCCTCGTTTCTCACTCTTTGTAATCTGGACACTCTAGCGCTTCTACGTAAGTAATCCATCTCTACAGCCAATATTCTCCGTTTATCTTCTTCTCTTAGGGCCCATAGCTCACTCCCATAGCATAAGACCGATTCTACCATTGTTTGGCCAATATGTTTTTTATTCTTTATATTAATATGTTTGTCCCACCAGATTGAGTTGAGTGCCCCTACCACTCTCCTCGCGTTCTGAATTCTCTGTCGTATCTCTGTCCCACCCATTCCATTTTTATCAACTATAGCTCCTACATATTTGAATGTGTCTACCTGTTGTATTTCTGCCTTGTCGTCAATTAGAATATCAAATTTGGCGTCGGAATTTAATACCAAGTATTCTGTTTTTTTAATTTTAAGATTTTTTAAAAGTTTATACAGGGTCTTTCATAAAATATGACCATTGAGTAATCACGATTCTGCTTAAACTGCTTGACATTTAAAGCTGATTTTTGATGGCAAACGGATTGACTGTGGGGTGTAGAGGTTCGATAAGGAGGGGTTTCTCGAATCTCAAATTCCAAGGGGTTGAAAACGCCCCTCAAATATTACAATATTTGTTATTTAAAAAACGGTTAGTCTTTCGGAGTTAGTCGTTTCTTTAAAACGCTTGGACACGCATAATTTATTTTGTTTTTTTGCATATTTCGAAATTTTTAAAAAATCATACAGGGTGTTCCAAAAAGTTGGGTAATTAATTAATCACGATTCTGCTTAAACTGCTTGACGTAAAAAGCTTATTTTTGGCAAACGGATTTTTCGAAAGTCAAATTCCAACGAGACGAAACTACCCCTCAAATATTACCAAGTTATATAATAATATCGCGATATTGTTCTTTCTCATGCTGACATAAATGTGAGAAAATTTTATCCAGTTTGTATGTTATTGGAAATTCTTGCTTTGCTTTACCATTACAAATGATTAATTCGACGCGAACGAAGTCGCGGCGGGTACACGCTAGTAATATATATTTCCTTCGGCCACACACCAGCTTTACCCGACACCTGCAATGAGAGCGACCCGAATAGTACAGTGTAATAGACTCTTATGCATAAACACCAGTTTTTACTATTTTCACTGAGTCCGTCGCTGAATGCAATTGTCGTCATACAGTTTTTTTTGCTGTTGAACAATATAATTAATGGTTAATGTATCCGGAGATAAACGATAACACATCTATCTATTTTCTGTAAAAACACCGACTGAAACGATTTGAAATAATGAAACTCATTATTATTCCATTTAATCGCTTGACTATTATTAACTGATAGTATTTAATTAATAAAGTAAATGAAAATAGAAGAAAAAAGTGGAACATGCCGATTATCGCTCATTATAGAACAGCTGGCGGCAGATGAATATTGGTCATCGCATTGCCTCTCTTTAATAATTGTCAAATTAAAATTAAGATTAATTTCTGAGCATTCGGTGGCAATATTATTTAATTATCTTTTATTTTATCTAACAAATAAATAAATAAAACAAAGAAAGTAAGGCAACCTTTTGCAAAGATATCTTATTTAGTAGATAGTTTATATATAAATTAAATAAATATATCTAAAAAACAAAAACCTATAGGTACTTAAAAATGTAATGCGAAGTAGATAATGTTACGCTAATAATAATTATGGTATCACACACTGATCGAATGTTTCCTTCTTTAGATTAGGTGGCATTCTTCAGTTTGTTGGGTCTGCACCCGGCTTTAGACTTCCTCGCACTAATGGGCCACCCTGTATACACTGAAAAAAATATTGATATTATTATTATCACTTGTAAAAATAAGATATTTTTACCTAGTTTCATAAAAAAATGTAATTTTGCAAAACATTTTATTAATATTAAATGATTATTAAAAATGGTATTATTTTCACAATGAGTTTTGTGAAATACAATCTTGTGGTAAAATTGCATGTGTCTAGGCATATTCACAAAACTTGTGTAAATTTACCATAATATATTAGTAAAAAATGATGCCACGTCACGTGACTTCTTGTAAAGCGGGTGCGCATTAAGTATTCGATTAAAAACATACTTAGGAGGAAAGACGAACAACAGTTCAGGGGAAAGTCTCAAAGCGTGGGTGATTAGTGTTTATACAGGGTTGTTCACCACATACGACACGGAGTATTGTAACTAAACGATTAGATTATTACAAATTGTAAGTTTTGGGTTCGTTGAAGGACTATTAGAGCTCCAATTTAAAAATATTTTTACAAGATACAGAGTGTCCCAAATAAGTAAAAAATATTATAGTTGTATTTTTTTAAATAGAACACCCTGTATATTATTCTATTTTTAGATTCTACGATTGAAATAAAGGTAAATTTGATTAAGGTTTATCACACTTAAACCTTACCGTTTTTGAAATATTTTCAATGTTATGAAATTGCAGTAAAAAATTTAAGGCTTTATTTCTCCAAGGGTATCAAAGTTTTTAATACTAAATATTTACTGAAGATTATTTATTGATCAGATATTGTGTTGCAATAATAAAAATTTTACTACCTTATACAGAGTGTCCAAAAATTTATATTAAATAATTACTAGCTTTCGGCAATAACTTGTTTAATTTAAATAGAACACCCGATATATTTTACGTGAATCAGATGCACAATGTAATTGTCTATCAAATTTTATTATACCATTTTTTACCCATCTCTTCAAGTTTTCGTAGAAAATGCATTTTTTATAATTTAGGCCTCATTTATCACTATACCCATGGAATATTGACATTTCAGATTATATATTCGTTTTGCTTATTTATTTATCATTTATTTTTTAATTTTACGATGTTTTTTATCTCTCTTCTCGCTCTTCACTTTTTAGCTGGTATGAACAAAGCGGTTCCGTCAAACTCCGGTCAAGATCATAAAAAATAATGAAACGCTCTTAATGGTTTTCATCCCCAAAACGTATATTTTCTAATTAACTTGTGCCCTCCCTTTCTGTTATATTGCTTTTTCTCTTTTTTTTTGGGTCTTTCTCTCAAAGCGGTGTTCTGTTTTTTTTTTCAACGTGTCCGCAACCTCTATCTGTTACGTAATTTTATTTTTTCCATTTGTACGAATCTCGAAAACAAATTTAAAATTAATTTAGGCTAAATGGCGAGGGTTGGACGCTGGATATTTATGATGAGATTTGTTTCATTTATTTCTGTTTTCATTTTTTAAAGTGTTATATGTTGTTTTTATGCGGTGAGTTGTGATGAGTTTTTTTTAGATGTGTTATTGAACGATTTGTCAAATTATATCCAAGTAAGTTTTAAGAGTCTATTACGCTGTACTTTCGGGTCGTTCTCAAGGGTCGGGTAAAGTGCGTGTGTGGCCGAAGGAAATACCGTGCTGGCAACTGTTACTTTTGGGTCGGCATTTACATGTGTGGAAGTAAATCACATAGGGATCTTATTAAGTCAGAGTGAGAGAAACACGACCGACGCGACGCGCGACGGTGTGCTGTTGCGGCGTTGCCGATACGCCTTTCTCTATCAAGTAAAGTAAAATCACGACCGCAAACCGCTTATTTTTAAAAGACTTTTTTTTCAAAAGATAACTAGATAAAATCATTATACATGTTTCTGAGCATCTGAAATGGAATTTAAGGATATTGTTAGGGTGTCATTTTTTTATAACGAGAAAACGTCAGTAATCGCGATAATTTAAAAACTCAACTTTTAACACAGGCCATAACTCAAGAACCACTTTAGATATTGAAACTATTTTTTATTTTCAAGATCGGATATTTTACAATATGTTTACATAAGAAAAATTCGATAAGGTTGATTTTTCCATTCAAAAATTGTAAACAATCCATCCATTTACTTTTAGAGCATAGCAATTTTCAGCAATCGTGTAATTTTTTTATTGATAAAGATTTTCACATACTGTCGACAAAGAAAATACAGCAGAAATATTAACAAAGTTCTTGAAAAAACTACAATCTATTATTTCTAATAGATTTCGAGATATCGATTTTTGAATTCAGAGTTCTAATAGCGCGACCACTATCGAACACCCACTCAATTGCACTTATTTTTACCAAAAATGCAAGTGTTTCTAGCTTGCACTTAAAAAAATCAAGCTATAGGAAAAATTACAACGACTCGTTAATAAATAAACAAATCAAGTATCACGAGACGTAATTAAATCGTGAAGCTGAACGCATGACGTACACCTTTCCCTAGAACTTTAAGTACTGACAGAGGTATTGATTGGGTCGACCGGTCTACTGCGACAAATCTGCTATATCCCCTTCCACGTCTCTTAGCGATGTGCACAGTTTCTCGGTTTATTTCATACATTTGACAACGTGTTTACTGTCCTCTCTTTGTTCAGTACATTATAAACGCATTGTACTCTTCTTACATACGGAAATCTCGACCCAAGACTAACCTTTGCCAGCCCTTAGTATATATTATATTTCAGAAATCTGCCTAAGGTTTAGTCCGCTCCTGTCGTGTTAAGACACATCCAAAATTCCACACAAGTGCGTTGATTAAGGGTTAATTAAGGTTTGCAGAGCTTCAGCATTTGCCATAAAATAGCGAGAAATTTTTTACAAAACCATATAAATTACATATCACTGTAATAACAAAACTTCCATCTATTTCCGTATTGTAACGAAATTTTAATTTATCTGTCTTTATTTTCGAGAAAGTTTAGTCCAATCATAAGGAATATTTTGCTGATGTTTGACCATCAAAATCTTAAAAATAAAGAAGTTGTCTAAAAATGTGCTATAATACGGATATAGTATAATCCTTTATCTTTAATTTACTTTTTCATTTGTGTAAAAATACCTAGCCAGTGTAACTCAGTTTTACTGGCTAGGTATTAATAAACGTTATAAAAAAATATAGGTATTATAAAACGTTAAATGCTTAACGTTAAGAACGTCTTTAAATTTGAAGCAGAGCTGGTTTAATTTGGAATATGTCGGTACGAAAAGATACTAAGATATCTATAATAATATTAAATGTTTTAATAACTTTTTTGATTATAATTTAAACTGACTTGGTTTATTAGCCAAATTTTGAATATTATATAAAATATTTTTCATAAATACGTCGAAGCTGTGTTCCAGCTCTATCATTTGCTGTTCCTTAATA